TATATTGCCTACTTCCTCCTCACACTCTATATACTACTACTACACATATATACGTGTGTGCAAGACGGCTTGGTTGGATTTTAGATTTTGTAAAGCGTTGTAAAAAAAAATGTGTTGGGAGTTTATGGATGTTACAAGACATACGCAGATCTTATCGATGTATACTTCAAATTGTTGGTGTGACAAATATCTGTAATATGAGATTGCATATAGTATAGATCATATTTTCCGAAATATACCATTTTCGTTGAACTTTACGGGAGTGCAAGGTAGAAGGACGCGGGACAGATGAACGTTAACTGTCACCTACATTACGGAGATTATCTACATTCTACATTACGAGCTCGAGAAACGACGGTGCAGCGAGAACGACTTGTGTACAGCAGATGCGATTAAGATTAAACGCAGTAACTCCGCCTCCGGGGAGGGGGGGGGAAGGGTGGGAAAAAGTCGCTATTTTTGATAACTGTGCAAAACGTTCGATAAGTCGGGTGGCAAAGTGAAAAATCTATCCAAATATCTATCGGCAACTGTTCGCCTTTGAACGGTAACGAGCTTAACGGAGAGTTAACCGTTCTCTGTCTCGTGCGTCTGTGCTACATTCGTCAACGTTAAAAGGGAGCATTTACGGCCAATAATCACTGCGCAAACACGACGTCGCGCCGTCGGAGTGTGCGGCAACCCGTTTACGTGGTATGATACGAATAAGACAATGTAACCCAAGGCGTTTCTCGCGACGAGACGAGCGCTATAGAACGGGAACAGGGGTATCTCGTGCGTTACACGGGAAGCGAGACACCCTCGATAAGCACACCCCTCCCCTGCCCCCCCCCTCTCTCCCCCCACCGCCCGACCACGTTGCATTTCCGAAGCCATCACTCTCTCGGATCCCCCCGTCCTCCAATCGCACCTTTAGGGCGAGAGCAGCAACAGCATCGGCGAGAGCGCAACGGCGGGCGGCGTTGTTACCCCCCTCCCCCCCACAGTGCATTGTACGAAGATATAATAAAGCATGAACCGCTGGAACACACCACGAGTCGTCGCACGTCACCTGTAACGCGATCTTTTGTCCGTGTCCGCCGTAGAAATAGAATAGACAAACGTCGCATACAAGAACTCTCTGTCTCTCCGATGTACACACACACACACACACGCACACACATACGCACACCGACGTGTTCGACATGCCGGCCCTCCCCTCCCCTCCTCCCCGTATTGTCATTCTCCCCCGTTACACGCTCGTTTTGTCGCTCTTGCACCCTGCAACGATTGCGCCTGATCGTTGTTGGCACTTTATTGCACGAAGGCATCTCGAGAGAGATGCCATCGAATTCCCGTAGATCTCATTAAACATCTCGAGAAAATTAGTTCAATCTTTTTCATCGTAAATCGGTAGCGCGTGAAAAATCGGCTGTCGTGGGATACCTCGGGGAAAAAGAGAATTTCTGCCATTTGCTACGAACGATCTCGCGTGTTAGATAAATGGATTCGATTAGGCCACGGCCAATATACAGCAAATGTGTTTTTATAATGCAAGAAAGATATCTTATTATTTTTTAAAATTATTATTATACAAAAAAATTTAATATATAAATCGAATATATTACATTTATGTTTTTCGATACTTTTAATCTCGATATTTTCCGATACATGTTTCACTTACGACTATTTTGTTGTATAAAGTGCGGGCTAAACACGTGATGCATCGAAATTCCATTTGTCGAAATTGATCCTTCGATCTCGCGACGTTCTTGGATTTCATTCTCAGCACGCGCGTATCTTCTGCCTGTCGACGGTTTGTACTTTCGATTTATGACGTCCCAGCTTCGTGAAAGATATCATGGGAAACGAAAATATGACTCGACGTACGATTTCTGCGATCGCGTGCGAGAGAGGCGTCTATAAGAATTTCGTGTCGTCAGGCGACGCTCAGAATAAACCTGAAGCGAATGCTTCTGGTTTCTCGGGTAAATCCGCGGAAACGATAGAAAAATCTTCGGTAGCTGTAATCATATTTCACTCCTGCATCACACGTTGCTCTTCGTTCACCACCCTCACTCACATCGTACCACCTCATACACACACATACACTCACATTTGTTAATTGCAGTATGCGTGGATGAAATAGGTAATCTTTACGTGTCTGTGTGTTCTTCACCCTGACATATCCGATTTACATTATCTACGATGTTCATAATTCATATAGAATGTTAACCCTTTACAGTAACGAGTGAAAGATCATTTCACAAAAGCACAATCAATTCTTTAAGAGACGCATCGCGGTGCAGCGTTATTACAAATAGATTCGAATTTAAAAAAATTTTCTAACGCGTAGTTATTCGTCATGTTAATTAACTCGTTGAGCATAAGATTTTTCACAATTGCGTTAAAATATAAGAGCAATCGTATAACACGAGATATTGGCAATTTGTCTTAAAAGGTCTAGATTTTTCAATCGCGTTTCAAATCGATTGCCACGATAAAATGCATCGGTGGGGTAGTTCGCACTTTGGAAATTGAATCGAGTACCGCGATAGACCGCTGAAAAATTTTCAGTCGAGTTTATTCTGCACTGCGATACGACTCTTTTTTTTTGTCTCCCTCTTCCGAGAGGCCCGGAAGCCTAGTTCTTCTGGTCTGGTACTCGGAAGCAGATAGTCTGCCCTCTCCCCCCTTCTCCCCCTCGATGGAAATCGACAAGAGGATTTCAGCAGCATCAGCAGCAGTCAGTCCACCAGACGAGTTGTCGATAGCGCAGTACCTGCTATATCACTGAGTAGAATTGTCTTTCCCAGTGTCGCCTGAAAATCCCATCAGCGGCATACCATCGTCAAACCTTCCCCCATCGTTCGCCCGTTCATTTCTTCTTTGAAGTAGAGCGCAAGCTTCCAATGCACGTCGAAAACCCACATACCGAATCCACCATGTCCATGCACTGTCCTCTGCGACGTTACTATGGCAACGGGATGGGCACAATCGCACGGTGACTTTATTCGAATAGTGCGGCCTGAAGTTTGGGAAGGCGCGTCTCTACGCGCGAGCTCCGCGGAATCGGTTTCATAAAAGGGACTCGCGTCATTATTCCTCTCGTCCGAATCGAAGCGAGATAGGAATTTGTAATCAGATAGGATAGAAATTTCCGTGTTGCGGCATATACGGATCCTATGGGAGACGAAGGAGACGGGGCGCAATATCGATTTGTCAAAAATGCGTTTGACTCGTGGCGCAGTAAATTCTAATTTGTTCGGATAATTAACTTCACCGTCGAATTCTCTGCCCCGGCATTATTTTGCGACCCGCACGTAATTTGCCGACGGAGGACATCGTCATATATTTAACTAACGTTGTTTACCGATGGTTAAAACCATTAGTGGACAAACTATCTCCGGGCATTCCAGTGTAAATTTCATATCGAATCAACGAAATGAAGATAAAATTGAAATATTGAGTCAGCAAATACATTATGAAGTCAATTCGCAGAATTTCTTTATTATATTTGCGTGTTGCATTGCTGTTATTTTCTTATATGTATGGTTCTACTTTTTATTCACTCTAAATTGACGTTATCCATTGTTTCACATTCATTCGCTTGTATATTATAAATCATTATTCACTTGATATAGAAGCGGCCATCAACGAAATCGTAGCGTGATTATTTAGTCTGTAAAGCGTGTCTCTCATCGAATATGATAATTCCGTTGGAAACAAATTCTGACCGTTCGGTACGGGATTTAGAAAGCTCATGGCCCAGAGCGCATATCGCGCATATTTTTGCTCAACTTGAACGGTGATCTAAAATCGTAGATTTTACGCGCTATCGGGGATTAACCACGGAGAACTTCTACGCGGCTTGCTCTCGCTCGAGAGTATTTTATTTTCAACGAAACACGCGAGCGGAAACTTCTCTATCACGTAAAGCGCGAGGCGTAGGCCACCGAGCATTAGAATGTTGCTAATTGTACCAGTCCGCTTTGATTCCTCCCGACTCCCGACAGGAAAGCATCGAGAGTTCTCGCTCGAAACTCGCATTTCCACGGCCACGCTCATCACATGTGCCGCAGAACTGCGAGTTTGAAATTACTTCGTACATTCGACTTGCAGCAGGTGTTGGGCACACACTGATGAATAACGATAATCTATGCGTGTAATATCACTTCGTACAAAATCTAAATAAGTGAGCAGTAATTAACGATTGTTGCTATTGTTTGCTTAATTAGATTGTTTATCAATAGCGGTATCCCTCGTACTGTATCAGCGGTATTTGCACAATGCGAAACACAATGAGACGTACAACGTATCAATATATTAATATTTTAAATACTTTTCTATACTTTTAAAAGCTTTTCTATACTTCAATGAAGCAGCAAAACTTTTTTTCCACTATTTCTATCAATATTGTATTCTTTAATAATGAAAAATGCCAAATTATTTAATTACATCGCTGACTCAGTACAGAACGCTGTTGCAGGTGGTAACTTTGGATTAAAAAGCAGGTACATATATTCTCGGCGGGCCAACATTTCGATGCTGCACACGAAAATGATTTCCATATTTATTACGGAAACGACAATCATGATAATTCGCGTGAGATTTATATTTATTTTTCTCTGTATCCGTGGAGTCGAGACTTTTCGAAACTACTGCGGTTTCACACCACCAATTTGGATATCGTACGCGTAGATTGCGCGTGGGAGCCCAACGCTCGTAGACGTCGAGAGTACGAAAGAGGCATCTGTTCGATAATACGAGGGGATCTAGTAAAAGCCTGCATGTGCCACACAGCAATGCGCACCGTGCATCTCGGAAGCGTTGACGCGTGCGACTCAACCGTAGGTGCTGTTTATCATTGATTGTGTCATTCTTTACTCACTTTTTCGTCTCCCCTCGCGCGACGTACGCGTGGGGGAGGGTCTCGATTAATCCGTATTACGCTTTGGTGCGACTTTGAAACATGATTAATTAATTGATCTTCCTTTTTTTCTGTTTCCTCAACACTCTAGTTGTTCAGGATTAAGCCTCTGCCAGTGTTAGTAAGTACCGCCACTTGATCTGGTGTGATTGGACTGCTGTAGTTAGAAGGCTATGCGTACATATACTTATATATTATATTCATACACACACACACACACACACACACACATATATATATATATATACACACACAAACACACATTATATATACATGCCTCGTACTCTGTCTCTGTTCCTATATTATCTATACACGCCATCGCTGAAAAGTAGGATCTCTAACGCGAATTTTTCGTGTTTATCAACGTGTTTTTCCTTTTAATCCCGCGCGTTTTTCCCTCCTTTTTTCGCAATGCTTCTACCTCGCGACAGGAGTTCTCAAGTGCGAGCAATACGTATCGATATGTTCGCTTACATACACGCCTTCATATGAAAAAAAATTCCTATCCGCATGGGCGCTCAGAGGAATGCTTTAGAAATAAAAAAACGCCTGCAAAGCCTCAGTCGCTGTGCCGTATATAAGGATTATCATTATTCTTTCCATTGTACCTATTATAGAAGCGAAGCTGGAAAAAAATATTTTAATTTTATTCAAGCCATTTTTATTTTGAGCCATCAATGGTCTGCGAGAAATTGTAATATGAAATGAAGTTTGTTGAATTAAAAAATTTTACGAATGTTAAATAAATTGTGGCAGCTATTTATATTGCACAAGGGAATATTTTGTACTGTCAATAGATAAATTTAACAGTCTTCCCTTTCGTCCGAGCGCCCATGTATTTCTTATCAAAAGACGTTCTTTCGCTTCTCAATGCACTTGACGTAATTCATGGAAACGTGGTCGTCCTGTTTGAAAACGTGTAGCTCTTTCGCGGTGCTCGAACAGGTTTCAAATATTTTCAAAGGGAACACTTGCTGACATGATGCCAACAGAGACACACTATTACTTTCGGAAACGTATAGACGAAAGTGCATTTGATAGTTAAACGGACCGCACGTTGGCAGTGCTACGATTAACTGCGAGTTCCGCGAAAGAATATCGATTCATCTATATATTCGAATGATCACTCACGTCCGTTTAAAATTGTGAAATCTAAAATCTTGCAATCGCCACGCGAGAATTAGTAATAAACGTAAATTACTGACTTTTATTTTGTATCATGATTTTTAATTTATTTCCAAGACACTGAATTTTTTTAATACGCATGAACTCTTTAATTCTTTTTGTATATAATATATCATATTTATTTTTTTACATTATTGGCGATAGGATTTAACGGCGTGTACTTGTCGGGATCCACCGTTATCGGAAGTGAGGGCAATCCTAAATAATTATACAGTTTTATCGACATGCAAAAAATTATTATACAATTGTTAAAGCTGTACGAATATTAAATCGATCAGATATTAATAAATTTATAAGTGAAGACGCGCCGTATGCGTGTATTAATTGCCAAACTATTAAACGCAAAGGGATGATAATAAAATAATATTACAAATTGGCTACTGAACAAAGCCGCAGAATATATTCAGCCGGATGCATCCGCAGTCGCAAATTCTCGTTCGTGTGATATACCGGCTCTAATTAGTGCACACCCGTTAATTAGTTTCACTATTGTCGATATTCTGACTTTGGTCCAGAAAATTCCTAGTTGTAATTAAAACCGATACAATTACGAATGTCTACACACCCGGACAAGTAATATTCGTACAGAATCAAAATGGACAGTCGTCCCTCGCTCCCCTCCAATGACTCCGTTCCCCCCCCACGTCCTATACACATTGTCGAAAAATCCCCGCAGCTCTGTTTCGCGAAACACGTGCGCTAACCGGAAGTTAGCACTCTCGTTACTGTGTGCAATCATGTACCGTTCATTGTACTTACTATACATTATACACCTTTTCATGCGCCGTTCTTTACTCACACATTCATGTAGATGGCCGCGCGCATATCTCTGCATCGTGCATATCTTCGGTATGCGTGCGTGCGTGCGTATACGTGTGTGCGTCTGTCCTTGCGCGATGTGCAGCAATTAGTGCTTGAGCTTCTTGTGAAAATGGAATCACTCACACGTGTATATTATATATATATCTATCTATCTATGTATGCCTTTACACGTACATACTACGTATTGCGCATCGCTAGATGACCGAATCGTGTCGCTGGTGGCATTACGACAAAAAGCTCGCGCTGTTCAACTCCCCGTGTCCCTCCAGTTGACAAATTCCCGCCCCCGCCTCACCCCTCGCCCCCCCCCGGTCCGATGCCGATGAGTGTATCGATTGACTGTAAAAAAAAGCCGTGTAGGCACCCCTCCCCCTGAACTAAAGTCGATGATCTAACTGCGTATACCGACTGTAAAACGTCATACAGCGACGTTCAGAGACCGACGAGTTTTATATTTCGTCTGGAAAAATTCTCGTATTTTTACGTGCCCCTTGCTCCTTAACTTTTAAGCGATGTGGCGAAATCGAGCTACGTGTCGATCGCTGGTTATCTCGGGACAACGTGTGAATTTGTATCTTTACTATACTGCAGAACTATATGTGCGCCGTGTTAACGTCAAACACTGAAAATTCGAACGAACTTGCGAGCGCTCCATTTGCCATATTGATATACTTTTTGTACATTCTCTACATTGTACTGTCACTCTTTGCAAGAGCTATTTTATTGCCAGTTGCTTACTACGTCGCATCTCTCGCTTCTCTCGCTGAATACTTAGACTCGTTCGCTATGTCTAGCGCAGCGCTGTGTAGGTCCATCAGCGATCGATATAGCCGTAGAACGATATCTTAGTCACGTCTCATGGTCGAGGACCTATTGTTGTTAATTAAAGCTCTCCTTTACTAATCCAATAGATGTTAATGATTTCACTGCAAGATGCACATTACGTTATCTTTCCAATTATCTCACATGCTATACATATATATATATATATATATATATATATATATTTCACTTTTGCAGTAGTTTTTCCCGTTACATAATTTCTCTCGTTAAATATATCGACGCGAAGTGAAATCCTTGACGTCGAATTTAACAAGTGATTAATAAGAATAACGACATTCGAAACGACCGCCCCTAAGAAATTTTAACGTGACCTTTGATCTACACCAACAGATTTTCGTACGAGCGCAATTCGACTACGATCCACTGGAGGACGAACTGATACCCTGCGCGCAGGCTGGGATCGCTTTTAAAACCGGTGACATTCTGCAGATCATCAGCAAGGATGATCATCACTGGTGGCAAGCGCGGAAGGACAATGCGGCTGGTTCCGCGGGTCTTATCCCTTCGCCCGAACTTCAGGAGTGGCGCATCGCTTGCATGTCTATGGAGAAGAACAAACAAGAACAAGGTAACATAACTTGGACTATTCATGTTGGCCCGTGTTTTGTGTAAAATCGCTCGTCCGTAGAACACGGGTACTGTTCTCTCGATCTCACAAGATATGTAAAAACGAAGGACGATGTTTGCGGTTGCCCTTACGTAGGAGTTATTTTTCATCGCTTAATGAGGATATCGATCATTTTTCATCATGTTTTATCCGCTAGACTGCTATCCCGTAAAATGGATGAAGTTCTTTAAAAAGAGAAGGAAAATATATTCGATATAGCAATTACTATAGAAAAGTATTGTTCTAGAGAAACTATAGAGTGTATATCCTCTTCATTTAATCGAACAATTTGGCATAAAAGCATAAAATTTCCTGACGATTTCGTTGTAAAAGTATTTTTAATGGTAATCCTATTTAAGCGTTTTCAGAATAATTTTCTTTCTCTGACGGTGAATGCGACATTTAGGATAAGGATAATTTTAGTTAAAAACTCGAGTAGAATGAGTGCGGTAATGACTGGTTCCAGCAGATCGCAGAATCTCTTTTGAGTACAGAACGGAGAATCAGAATTTCGCCGATTGAGAAAATCGTTATTACATGACATTCTTTCGCCGCCGCTCAATCAATCCATTATCATCCAATTACATCTGATGATTCCGCTCAATTCCCACTGATTTTCACCAAATCATTGCTGCCAAAAAAAGAAAACAAGAATGTGCTGATGAAACACGATGTCGTCTGTGTGTTGTTCGATGTGTACAGGTTTTCGATGGAGCATGTGATATCGTTGTTATATATCAATCAATTATACTGAGATGCGTATATATCGATAGTGTATTCGTTTACGACGGATTAGCTAAGTAATTATCGTTCGTCTCTCCGAGATATTTCGAACGGAAATCAAACGGTATTTGATCTGTTACGGCATCTGTGATGTTATTTCATACATGATATATTCATTCATTTCTGATGATAATAAGAAATATTCTAAGGAAATTTGGGGTATTCCTTGTTTGAAAATAGTTTTGAAAAAATATAAAAATCATGCATATTGATTCTTTTCAAACCGTAATAAACCTTTTTAAAGTATAACAATATCTATTGTACGTAAATAAAATTAATAATTAATAGTACATGTCAATTAATAACAATTGATAGTAGATAAGATTAATAATAAATAATAATTAATTGCGATATTTAATTTATATTGTGTAAACATTAACTTTTCCATGGTATATAGTAATAATAATAACAATATATAATAATGGATTATCAATTTAATATAATATATAAATTTCTAAAATTCACAATTCACGAAATGCTGAACGTAACTATGGCTATAATCGAATACAGTTTTTATGTTTAAATCAATTCTAATTAGGTAAATATATTTAGATAGATATTATGTATATACATTTTAAATTATGTAATTAATTACTCATAGAGGCCGAGTTTTATTTTTTACATTAAAGTTTGAACCGGTTTTATAATTCAAACCCCACGTGACTACTACTATGACCCTACGTATAAACCCGTATCGATTTCGAATCTCGAAGCTGGGTACGAACGTTCCTGAGGCAATTCCGTTTGGTTAAAAGCATCTATCATTTCCAGACGCTAGAAATAAAGCACAAACGTAATCGTTACTTTGGATAGTTACTGATCCATGAAATTTTAAGATGCCATTACCCCTTTGTGTTAACCATAAATCTTTTACTTCGGAAGAGCTGCTGCTATCGTAAGCTCGCAAAAGCAACGAAATGCCAGGAGAAGCGTGTTAAGTTACAAGATAGTTTGTCACTCGCAAGACCTTTTTTACCCCATATTTCTATGATATATACGTTTGACAATCAAGACCGGTTAATTTAAAAAAAAACACAGATTATGATAAATCAGCAAATGTACGATAGATAGAAGGAAGCTGTTTTACGATTTCGAGATGTAATGTTAAAAGCCAGAATTAAAGCCTAATTGCGAATTGCGGTTGTGAAGTCGTATGCAAATCTCGAGGGTTGAATGCTTTAAGAACATGTAGCAAGAAAGTTTCGGTCGACGTATATGTATATGTCTCTACGTGTGCACCTGCTGGCGTGAGTGGGTGGCATGATGGACGGATTAGGAATAGGCAAGTGGAAAGCTAGCGCATACAAGAATAATTAGCTGCAGTGATATATCTGTTGTTTATATGTGTTATGCGGGGCTAGATGCTGAAGGAGAAGGTGGATGTTCTTCTCACACCGAAGGCTGCGACGGCTCGACAGGTACGTCTCTGCCTTCAGGTAGACACGTGTAGAGTCACGTAGGAACGTATTTTTAGACGCATGAAGTACAAACTGGACCCATGCTTCTAACACACGCATCAGTACAGAGAAGGAGATCGAAAGCGGGATGATTGTCTTTCGGCGGCTTTACGAAAAAGGACGCACGAGGCTTTTGCTTTCAAGTTTGTTTCGTACATTATGAAATTTATCATTCTCGCAATTTCGTAATAAATATGTATGGGCGATATTTAATATTTTTACTTTGTGCGCGAAGTTTCGATAAAATACCTGTGTATTAATGCTTACGAAACATTTACAAGGAATTATACAATATATTTAAGTTTTGAACTTGTAATTAATAATAAGTGACACTATTAAAAAAGTTATTTGGATAAGATGTTCCGAAAGCAGTGTCTTTTAACTGTTAGTCCACATAAAAAATGTATTACGCTTATTAGAACAGTGAATAAATATTCGTAAAATATATACAGGCGACAATTTATTTTCTGCAAGTCGCGATCGCGTAGTCAAAGTAATATTTGTAACATAATTTTGTTTTTACAGTTTAGTAACTGCAGCTCCTTAAGTAAACTTTAATTTACATGATATCATTCATTTAAAAGATATTGATTTTTATATGCCCACAACACGATCTTCATATGAAACTGTATTATTGAATTACACAGTTGTAAAAGTATCACGCAATGCATGAAAATGAATGCCATTAAATTCCTCACAATGGATAATATATGAACGATATGAAATTAAGCATTAATAACAAAAGAAGCTTTTAAAAGTGTTCATTTTTCAGGCTTGTGTAAATGAGAAATTTTGTAACGTTGCGAAATATTATGAGAGAGAGAGAGAGAGAGAGAGCATCGCATCAATTATAATTTATTAATATGGGTACTGTGATACATTCTGCATATAAATTATAATAATAGATGCTTTTACACAGCGTGCTTTAATGCATGCATTCGCTGCAAAATATTCGACGCACTTATGCTTATTTCGCACGATTTCACTTGCAAACGTACTCAGCAGCACGATTATACAACCGGAGCTTACAATAGATAATTAATTGATCGTTCTAAATGTTAGCGGGCAACAACACTTTGGGGATATCTTGCCGAAAATCTCGAGAACGAACATGTTCTCCTGTATCATTCTTGATTCTGAAATAAAAATCTTTTTTTTTCACATACATATATATTTTTATCCGTCTATTTTCAACTGTCTACATATTTTGGCAAGATATCGTGATTTGCACAATCACGCGAGCTTATCATCCACCAGCTTCGATATACATTGTAGTCATACACGAAGTCTCCTTAGTATATTCTAGTATGCAGTAGTTCTGTGATCGTGAAAATGATATTCGCGAGGCAGTTCACCATGGCTCCCCGATTATACGACACCTACATTTGAGTACTCATGCATCAGTTAATCATGAATATCTTACGTTATCATCTTGTGACCTGCTGGAACACCCCTCTCAATAGGACTCCTCCCCCTCGCCCGAGTGCCTTTGGGCATGGCTTCCTTCAAACTGGCTGACTGAATGAAATTCTTTTTTATAATCAATAGGCAAGACTCTGCTTGATCCAGGAGTCGAGTATTCGCAGAGTAGTTCGTGTCACTTCGTGTTAGCATCAATTTTCGAGATACTCCGGAGGGTTGCTAACATTAAGTGCACATGCGTAATTGCGTATTACGTTTCCGGTAGGATAACACGACCGTGTTGGGTGATATACATGTTTAGGAGAAGTAATATCTACAGAACGTATCTTAGCGACGTGAACGATCATTGTCGCGCGACTACGGAAAATGTCTGTCGTGCCTTATTTCGATTTCTGGCGAATCTGGTAAATCAGGGAATTTCATTAATAGACATTTATAACCTGCATCGCAGAGCAGATGACCGTCGTTTTATTGGTCGACATAATTTCTGATACACGTACACATTCGAACACAATTGAATTCTGCGAGGCAGCTCCGTTATGCGACGGGCGAACGGTATCGTGATCGTTCTTTAAGATCGGGGTTCAGCGGTCGTTCGCCGACACCGTAAAGGCACGGAACTCGTTAGTTAGCACGGATAATGGATTCCGTAACATGACACTTGCACAGTAATTTGCAAGTTTACACCGGGCAGACGTTTTCGAAGAGAGAATAGCTTCATCTCCGGTTTCGTCGGCGTTTTATACATATTAACGATCTTTTCTGCTTTGCAGTAAATTGCTCAATATTCGGCCGGAAAAAGAAGCAATACAAGGATAAATATCTTGCAAAGCACAACGCTGTATTCGACCAGCTGGACCTGGTGACCTACGAAGAGGTCGTGAAGCTTCCTTGTGAGTTTCATTTGCAATTCTAAATAATCTACAAAATTAATATAAAGTTAATTTCGTGTAATATGTGTAATGCATATTTTAATACACATTATCTCGGTGACTTTATTATTATAATGTCTCAAAATTTATATTAAGTATAATCAGAGTTATAATTTTATTGTATATGTGTTATAATGTTTATAGGATATAAATAATTTTTTAAATTATATAATTACCTTTTTTTTGCACACAGATCCTGCCTTCCAACGGAGAACTTTAGTATTATTGGGAGCACATGGCGTCGGTCGACGACACATAAAAAATACAATTATTTCCAAGCATCCCGATAAATACGCCTATCCTATTCCGCGTAAGTATCTCAAGCATTTTATGACATTCTAAATTAATCAAGTATTATTTTTTTATATTAGAAAAATGTGTGAAATTATATAAATTATATATATTTTTATCGCGCGGAAGACTTATCAAATGTATTCTTTTCATAGATACAACGAGGCCTCCACGAAGTGACGAAGAAAATGGTCGTAACTACTATTTCGTATCGCACGATGAAATGATGGCAGATATATCTGCTAATGAATACCTCGAATACGGTAAATTATGCCCATGCAAATTTTCTCGTATTTGAAATTTATTGAAATTAATTAATATATAAATATGTTGTTACTAATCGTTTTAATTAATTGTAGAAATTGAGAATTAATAAGAGAACATTGATTAATTATTAGAATTATTAATTTAGATTTTAGAAATAGATAATATATAAGTTTTACAATTTTGAAATTTTAGAAGTGTAAATATTAAATTTATTAAATCTGAAATATTTATTTTTTATAAATAGGTACGCATGAAGATGCTATGTACGGAACTAAGCTTGAAACTATTCGCAAAATTCACGAAGAAGGCAGAATGGCCATATTGGATGTTGAACCGCAGGCACTGAAAGTTTTACGGACTGCTGAATTTGCACCTTATGTCGTCTTCATCGCTGCACCAGCATTTGGAAATGTTACGGATGTAAGTATGAAAATTGAAGACAAAACTATATGTACAACATGTTTTGGATATTTTTCCCGGAAACTGCAGTTCACGTAACGATTTAGCGAATGTATTTTATTATATTATAAAATTTCTTGGTGTTCTCGAGAAATATATAATCACAAAAAATAACATATCTAAATTTATACTAAAAAGTTGAATATAATTTTCCGTTTTCAATAGTTACTCTACAATAATTACAAAAATAAAATATGTTAATCGTATTGTATAAATTGATAATGTTCTAATACTTTTATTTTATTTTATTTTTTTTACTGAATTCGTATATTTGTAAAACTCTTTTTGCGATTATTGATTATTTAAATTTACGTAAAATAATATTTAAATAGAAAATAATTACACATTTTTTAAGTTGTAAATGTTATTTACTTTTCGCATTAAACTACGATGATTAATCAAGAACAGTACATCTAGAAAGGAAATATGCTAATTTACCTTTCTACAGTACACGTTTTCTAACTAAAACATAAACGTGCTTAAAACGTTTGCCATGTAAAATGAGATTAATGTTCAACAGGGCTCTATAGTAGCGCGCATAACATAACGGCAAACTACGAGCCAGAGAGTTTATCGGAGTGTACACAGAGAAAACATCGATGTCTGCAAATATTCTCTTTAACGTGTCAGCTTGAACGTATCTCGATTCTTGACGTGCGATGCGAGTCAGGAATTGCACGCTAATTAAGCAATTAGGCAAACCGTTCAGTGAATCTTCAAATGAATCATGGATTTGCCGGATTAATCAAGCAAACAATTACTGCTCCACTTGTTCTGAATGACTGATCGACTGATTGCAGTCCGTTAATACACTTTGAGAGGAAACCATTAAAGAATACTGGATTTTCTGATGACGATATAAATACACACATATGTAAAAAATATCGCGTGTCCGATCGTTCAGTCCGTTCGATTAAATACGTAATCAAATTATACATATCATTTTTATAAAAAAAAGGACATGAAAAGAAAATTATTTAAACGTATAAGTTAGTGGCGCGAAAATATTCGATGAGACGTTCAGCAAAAGAAGAAACGTGTGAAAGTATGGATAATATATTATCGTGGAAAATTACATCTTAAAATTCTGCTCTGAAATTTTGAATCGATTTTTCATTAAACATATATGTAAGTACTATTCCTGTAACAACGTCGTTTGTGCTTTCAGTTCGACGGTAGTCTGGAGCGTCTGGCGAAGGAGTCGGACATGCTGAAACAGGCGTACGGGCATTTCTTTGATTTGACCATCGTGAACAACGATCTCGACGAGACGATCGCCCAGCTGGAGGCCGCGATCGAGCGCGTTCACACGACACCACAATGGGTGCCCGTCTCTTGGGTCTACTGACAGCGGTCTTCGCCGGTACGTCACATTGTCACCACGGACTGCAACGGCTCATCGAGGATAAAGCAGTGATCGCTGGTGCCGTGACGATCATCGTACCACGGTCGGTCCTCTCGACGCGAAGATCCGACGCAGACACCCACCGGCGTCCAACAGCAGGAATACGCCGCAGGCAGCTACATCGTGCACGTAGGACGTACTCAACGTACCAGCAAATCTAGCCGCCGACGATCGGCTCGACGGTGAAAACGATCCAAGTGCGTGCGACTATACGATGGCCGTGTGTTCATGAAATTCTTTCCATCGCCGCGTAATTGTTATTACCAGTCGCGGGACACGAGAGGAGGCCAGCGACGTGCCGTTAGTCATCCCGGTCCGTCGATGAGTACCGCCGCCGCGTCCGTCAACGGGGCGTCGGACCATCCGTTGGAAAATGGAAAACGCGTCATCATCGAAGCACGACGAAGATCGAAGTGACGGCAATGACGTCGTCACGTGCGTCTAGAAACGGACGCTTTTTCGCGGACCACCAACTCTTTCCTGCTGCATCTTCTTCTCCCTCTGCTCCGTCTTCCTCCTTCGAGGATTAAAGGATTATAAAGACAAGGAGTAACACCCTCCGGATCAGCTGGGACTTCTCTTGAAACGAGACTGCTGAACGAATGCCTGTCTTTCCTCTTCTATTCCGCGCAGTCTGTCGCTTCTCTCGAACACATTCCTGGCACGGTTTCGGCGAATTCACACACGAATTTCTCGCGGTTCCACACTTAAGGCAATCGCGTTTGCGAACGCGAGCTACATACATGTGCAGTGATACGGCAACGCGATGGCAACCATCAGAGAACGTCGCGCAGAATTCGTGGAAAACCAAACGAGAAACAATAGCCGCGTTCATACTTTCGCGCGGACATCAAACCGAGCGGCTGAATCTTCGTACCCTTTATCTGCGGAATCTATCGACTTTCCGTAAACTGTAATTGCCTCCTATCTCGTACTTTATCGTATAATTACTTAACGAAAAGAAGCTAGAGATCGTGCGGCACGGCAGTGCCAATGAATATATAGTATATAAATACACACATATATGTATATACGTATGCTTGTATATATATGTGTATGTGTGTATGTGTGTATGTATATAGCGAAAGGCAAAGGTCCTGTCGCAATAATCGAAACCCTCATTTCTCTGATCGTTCAGCCAAAAGAGAAAAAGAAGAACAAATAGTAAAACTGGTGTGCTGCCGGCCGTCCGTCATTTAACTGTAACTTTAAGCAGTAGAGAACTTCGCCGGTTTCGTCTAGTACTTCTGCTAAATATCTAACGAGTGTTCATCTCTCGTCGCGGCTATCCCCACCGCGACGAACCTACGCGTATACGCGAGCGCTTCTTCCGGCTTTTTGTATCTTTCCCGGTCGATTGTCTTTCCCTGTCGTTTCGTTTTCTCTCCCACTCCTCCCCTCTCTCTTTCTATCTCTTTCTATCCCTCGCTCTAATCACCCGCCGAGCTTCTCTCACCTTTCTACTTTTGACAATCGAGACCGCCGTCGGGGCGAGACGGCTCGCTCGCTCGCTCGCTCGGCCGTGCACTCGCCCACCTCCTCCTCCCCCTCCCCCTTCCCCATTGCCATTCGTCGCTATCGTTGCTCATGGAGACATCCCCGGACGCAAAATCAAATGTTCGCCGACAATGTATCGCAGCGTCGACCGACGATCTTGTATTTCCCGTAACACAATAAACGCACGAAGCCGTACCGCACATCCCGGACGAATGCACGGACGGCGAATACCGATCCGGCAGTGAGAATTATACGAGTGCTCATTCGGAAGCGCTTGTATGCGATTATTAAGTTCGTACAAGATACACACGTACATTCACACACACACGCACACACGTACACACATATGCACGCACGCACGCACGCACGCGCACGCACGCACGCACGCACACATACAGATATACATACAGATACACATATGGGCACACGTCAAAACTATAATGTCACTCGGTTCGTATTACTTACACCCTCGTACAAAAGCGCATAATCGAATGACGAATTAACAACAACAAAAAAACGCGAATTTACTATAGGATATTTATAAAACGTAAATTTCAGATAAATAGATAGTTTACCAGCTATATGAAATAATAATGAGGACAACACACATCTCTCCAGTAGAGAAACACACATGCGCCCCTCCCGCCTCCCACACGTACATCAACCCACACAACCGCCCACTTATCTATACACGCGCGCAACACACACATACAACCACACATACGCACATACGTACGCACGCGATCGCATGCGCGCGAGTGCAGGTTTACAGTACGGTACAGATTTAACAACTAGGTAATTAATTTACAAATGATTATAAAAAAAAAAAGATTAAATGTATGACTAATTAATATTAAAGAATTACTAGGAGACTAATAGGTGATTTGCATATGCATATGCCCGTAGAACGAAGGAATGAATGCGTGTATACATGCGGGCGTGGTACGATAGTTTTAACGTTGACAACGTTGCGTTTTATCGCGGATCTCTTGGAGCCCCCCCGGCTTCATCGCGGTCCGTCTCTTTCTCTCGGTTGTCGCAACGATCTCGAAACATATAGGCGAATTTATAGGCTCGTGTCTCGCTCCCCCCGATGCGTTCTTCCTATTCCGCGCGATCACGGCAGGACGGCACGAAGACCGGTCGTGGCAGAAAGCGCCCGATTATTATATATTTCAGAAACGCATATAAACGAAGGGGAGGATCACGACGTCGTCGTCGCGCAATGTCACGTTTGCGGGGACCGGTGACTGTAACATCGGATAAGAAACGATTTTCACGAAGCCACAGTTGTGAATTTGCCGAGTAACGAGAATACTCGCGCGAGGAAAAAAAAAAGGATTGCCCGTCGGTGTGATAGCGTTCGTGTGCGTAAAACATTGCGAAAACGCGAGAAGCATGAGTCACAAGTGATTTTGTAATATTTCTTATAAGTTGTAGCTGCCATATCCAGTAATTAAGTACTAGGTGCGTTGAGTGATAATCTGACGACGACTGTTATGCTAATGATAATGATGATAACGATGATGATAATTATTGATGATGATGGTGATGATGACCGTACGTGCTGCGGCACGTGTGTCTCAATTAATTTGGATGAATTGTGCTAAGATATTGAGAGAGACGACGGGTCTAAAGGAAACAATAACAAGTTCATTACAATTATGTAATTATAAATAAGAGGAAGAGACGAAGAGTATTATAACACGTTGTTAATTGAATTAATAAAATTAGCCCAAAGTAACGGAGAGATGTTTGATTTGAGCGAATATTTATTGGCGTCTATGTTTTCGTTTCAACGGATGCCTTCTGTTGACGTGACCTCTTTTAACTGATGGCAGTGCCGGTGTAAGCACAGCTTCCGAATTGTCCGTTTTATTGCATTGCTTTTGGTCCATAGGGAACATATACTCCAAGTCAATGTCATACCTACATATTAAAAATTTTATTTTTAATGATAAAAATTTTAATCATAAAATAACATGGCAATGCAACACTTTAATTTAAAATTTTTAATATTTATTTATTATATAATAAGTGTTTCCTTGATATGCATAAAAATTTTATTAAAGTTTTGAAATAATTATAAAATTTGATTTAATCGATATTTCTTTCGTTATAAAAAGTCATTAAAAGTATCTCACAATTAGTAAAGGATTTTCAGAATTAACGATTGAAATTATATATATTTGTATCTTGTATTGAAATAACATTTAAAAAATTATTTTATCGTAAATATTATTTTTCAAAAGATGCATTTATGATTTTAATAAGTTCTAAAACAATTTTAGTGTAATCAAAATAACATTGAGACAAATATACCTAGGCAGTTTCTCCCGAAGATATGAAATGACGTTTGCCCCGAGGCTCGCTTCACGGCTCATGATGAAGCTAGATAAGTATCGTGGGCTTTTACTCTTTTCAGCACAATGCATTAGTAACGCCCAGGATTTATAATCTGAATCTAACACATATGTATTGTACACTCCTTCGTCTGGAAAATATCAAATTCAACATAAAATAATTCGGCAAAAATCAATATTTATTTCTACTGAATTAAATTATTAATTTAATTTTAATTGATAATGAATCCGTTGAGAAAATATATTTTTTATAGAGTAAATGTAGAAAAAAAGTTACACCTAAAGTTATAAATAATTAAAAAGGAATAAAATAAAATATGAAACTTTTTTTTCATTACGCAACGTATATAAAAATTAGAAAGAAATTAGATTGCTGCGACATAAATTAATTATGTGTTTACATGGCAACTCAGCGTGCATCCAATGAGCAGGTAAATCCGGCGATGGGATTTTCCACGTGATGTTACCAACGAGCAGCTCGTTAATGGGATCGTCAGTAAAGCTGTAAGTGAAATTCATGGTAACTTCGGCGTTTTCGGGCGAAACCGAGAGTTCGGCTCTCATACATCGGTACACGAGAGCTTCCTCCGAGCTTGCATAGTACTGTACTATGTACCACAATCCGAGAAACTGCAAGAAGCGCAAGATGCTGTTACGTGCGAGTGCGATGTAGGCGTGAAGTCACGCGTGAAATAGGCGCAACAGTTTACCACACCGCGCTGATTTTATTCGCGCTAACGTATGCTAACAAATGTGTGCCATCAACGGGTCAAGCGATCCTACTCGACAGTAAACGGCGTTAGAAATATATTGAGAGATTTCCCAGATGATTATCACTTTGTTTCCATTCGTGAAAGCGTGATAAATCAAAATTCTCGAACTTATACTTCTTAAATTCGTTTAACATTTTTTTTCTTATTTAATACATTAAATTTTGATGAAGCATTTATTTTGATTTACTTTAAAAAGTTCAATAAAGAATTTATTTCTACAGTAATATTACAAAGTTACACGCGATCCAGTCTAAAATGGAACATCTGCAATATATACATACGAAACTTTATTTTTCCAAACTCGTGTTAAACTTCAAAATTTTGATCTAAATTCATGTAATGTAAAATTAAAAATATAATAATATAGGAATAGCTTGAAATTGAGGTATTTATCTCTATTGTGTGTTTATAGAGAAAGCCAAAATGTTTCTATTTAAACGTAAATTGCATTTTGACGTAGTCACTTTGTAATTTTCCAAAATTGATATGAGCATTAAAACGCGTTTGCGACACAATCCACTTCACTTAAAGTACGTATCACCGTTTATGACAAAAGAAAACCAACGGAAATAGTCGCGTGTATGTGAGTATATGTTTGAAGTAGTCTTCCTATAAATACGTATCAAATCTAAAAATAAATCCGCCGAACGTAGCTTTGGAAAGAAAGTCTGCGCAAGTACTAAATTCTAATATTCCATATTCGCAATGATATATACGTTATAAAACTGTAAATACATAATTATTCTCTTATAAAATCGCCTTTCCTTCTCTTTTTTTTCTTTCTGTTTTATTAAAATTTATAGATAATTAAGCACGTACATTGTTAAACATTAAATATTACACTTTGCAATCGCATTTATAGTACACGGTTGTCAAGTGGTACATGTATCATTCTAGATATATGTAAAGATAACTTTATTATTAGAGAATTGGATCAATCGTTTTTTCCATAGCTTTCAAAACACAGAGCTATACATTGTTGAAACCCAAAACAAAGAGTTACAGATTGTACACGATGTGCCAATTTTCAAAAATGGATTTCCAATGGAAATTAAATGCGAGCTCGTAAATTCCGCAAAAGTACTTTACAGAGTTATCTGTCACCTCTCATATTCGCTTGTTTGAAAAAACTCATAAATCAAAATATTTTGCTTTCGGCCATTCAAAATTTTTTTTGCCCAACTCTCTCTCTCTCTGTATAGTTATTAATCTTGTAATATATCTAACTCAAAATCTGTTCAAAAGTTAATAGCGATAGTATTGCGCTGATTTTATTCGTGGTTTGCGGGAATGCCGTGTTTGACAGCTTTTACTATTTTCATGTCAAATCATAAATCGTGTTATCATTAATTGCACGGTAAACAATCATTTCGATTGCTGTTGCACATTGCAGATTCTAATAATTAATCGTGGATTACGTATTTCGTATAATTAATATTCGATCGACATATTTGGCAATAGTAAATGTTCATTATCCATTTCCGAAATCACATCAGAGGCGGTTAATATATCAGTACACTTCATATTATTTCGCATTAATATTGCGCGTCGAATGAAAATGCTTCAAATACGCATTCATATAAATGATACGATTAAATGAAGCGGTAAAAGTCAATTTAAATTGATGATCACTAGTGAAAGTGTTGATCGTTGTATGTATAATTTCGAGTATCATAATTAACACTAGAGTTAATTGTGGGAGTAGCTGTAATTATAAACAATTTTTTTATTCAATATAAGAATTAAATAACATTTCTCTCAAAGAATCTATAGAATCGATTTTTCCAAGACTTTTCCAGAAAGCTAATTCCTTGTCAGGCTACGAAAATTAAATATTTTCGATTTCGGAATATAAAATTCAGTCGATTTTAAATATATATATGTATGTATATTCTTTTAATGAAAGCGATAATTCTATACAACTGGAATCCACGGTCCCCGGCAAGAAGAATTCAAATTGTTGATTTACCTTTATATGTACATACACGAGACAATATCATTGCATTTAATATACATGAAACGCAGGTGCGAACAATCGTTTAAAATGTACAAATCGGAAAATTAATTAAATCGATGTAGATCGCAGAGAATTCTATATACCTCGGATATATCGAAGTTGCGTATTCCCTTCACTTTTGGACACTTGGTCTTATCCTCCCGTCTCTTCCAAACGCTGCCGGCGTCGCCGACGAGAAGTCCGACGACGAGCAGCGTTATTGTCAACCAGCAGAATCCCGAACGTCGTCTCGTACCGGGATGCATCTTCGCCGTGCATTCAGATTCCGCTCACAATAAACGGTACAGGCTGGACCGGCTGGATCGCGCGCGACGATCTCTCCTCCTCGACCGTCGGTGCTTGCTCGCGGGCGACTAGAGGCCACGTACATAGCCGAGCGTACGAAGAACGGACGCGCGGCTCATGACTATTACATACGGAACGAAGAGGGGGTGGGCCACTATCACGTTCCTCCCTTTGCATTCTTGCTGTTCCTTCGTTTTCAATCGGCAACTTGTTCCGCGCGTATACAATTCTCATAACTGGCGCCGGACTGGGGCCCCCGAGGACTCGTAGGCGTTGATCGCCGTTTATAGCTAAAGAGACATGCTCGCTGTATCCTCGAGTCGCTCGTTTTCTCCGCGGATTGTCCATTCCCCGGCTCGGGACCAGCGAGAGACCACGAGATCTCTTGCGAGATCCTTCTGCGATCCTTTCACGATTGCGAAGTTTACGAACGTATCATCTCTTGTAAAAGAATTGAATGTTCATTCATATCATAATACGATGACCGACGTGGTCTCACTAATACGTAAAATAATATAATACATATACATGATTAGTTCCATTCAATAGATGAGTGCGCAAAATTCAAATCAATTGAGTTCTCGATTTAAGGCGAACATTTCGAGAAATAATAAAGCCGGAAATAAAAACAATTTATTGATTTATTTATGCATTTGTGTTTTTTATGCCTATATATATACATGTGTTACATGGTATTGTATCGATTATTATTCATCATGCACAACTGAAAATCGATTCGGTAATAGAATATTTCTTCGAACCAATGTTAATATGCAGCAACCTACTCGAAGCAAACGTGTTCAACATATATATCGATACGAAAAATTTTAGTCGTGCGTTTATGATGAATCTGACTATATTTGGCTGTAGTTATATAATAATATTTTAAATATTGAAATTTAAGGAATTCAAGTTATATGAGAGTTTAAGGATCATGTTACGCGCCTTTTTTTTAATAATAATTAAATTTATTTTTTATATGTATTTTTACATTTAATTGTATTACTTCAATTTATTTTTAAAAAATATGTTTGTTATAATTGCTTTAGATAAAAATAGGAAAAGGTTAAATTTTTTAAATATTAAAGTTTACATATTGTAACTGAAAATTGAGTTGTCCTATAATTTTAAGCAGCTCGTAACTTTTTTTCGTTACTCCGACAAAAAAGGGTGACGTAAGATTTACGACTTCAGATCTGATTTAGGTCATCTAAGTTTAAGAATTTAGATGCTTCTCTGTAACACTACGTTTATCGCTAGGATGAGAGTTGTTCGATCAAAATAACATTTATCGACACTGACCGCAAATTGCTGGATTACGTAATCTGTTTATTAAATGATTATATATAACTTTTACGACATCTGTATCAAGAGATGCATTATACTCTCTAAAAGAGAGTAAATCAGTGTAATCATCACTGATTGTCAGTGTACATCATTTTTCAGTGACATATTTAGAACTGTGATAAATAGTCACTGTTTATCACAGTTCTAAGTATGTCACTGGAAAATAATATACATTGACAATTAGTGATAATTTAACTGATTCACTTTTAGAGAGTATAGCCTTTCGCGCCAAGTATATTTTTCGTAAAGTATACATTCTTTAATAAGACGTACGTTACAACGCCTCCTATACAAAATTTTTGGACTTTACAGAAAGTCGAGAACGTTTGTCTAGAAAAAAATCATTGTTCTTTTTAATTAATAAATAAATGAATGAAGCAGATCATCATTTTATATTCTAAAATTTAGAACCACAATGAATTCACGCTGAATAACCTGCTACATTGATAAACTTATCAATTCGTCAGTTTATTATTTTATCATACATCCTTTTCCTCTACGCGCTCTCCTCGACAATCATAACTTACTCATTAAATATTTATAAATCGCAAAAACTGATGTGTCATGGTAAAAATTGAAAAGCTCAAAGATATTAATATAAAGATTGTATTAAGCATCTTAATATTAAAATTGTATTAAGAATATTTAATATGAAGATTGTATTAATTTAAGATTGATACCAGCTGAAATTAATTATAAGAGAGTAAAACCAAAAAGAATTAACGAATATTAGATTAAAAAAGGAAGAGATTAGAAGATTATCTTAAAATAGCAAAATGTTTTTATAACAGTTAGAAATATTAATGTAAATTATAATGTTTAAAGTTCATTTACTTTAAAATAATTAATATTATGTCAAATTTATATTATTCCGATATCGGCATATAATATTAATAATATTATGCATATAATATTATTAAATTATAAAATAATTTTGCAAAGTTTTTTAAAGCTGAAAGGCATGAAATAAATAAACGTATTTATATCTACAGATTTAAAACAAGAGAAATTATTATCGTTCAATCATTTCAAATCAATAAAACAATACTAATATATATACCTATATTTTTTTCATCGATGGAAAAGGATAGAAAAACCTACTATAAATTTAAGCAAATCGATGTAAATATATATTGAATAAAAAAATCTTTTTTATTCAATCTTCTTACATAAAAATAGATATTAATATTTGTTCCATATAAAAAACTTATTACTGCTAATTAAGTACACTGTACTGAGTTAAACTGCTGTAATCGAGCTCATCTACGCCTTCAGTAACGTCATCATCATACATTGTACGTCATTTCCAAGGAGGCTTGTTCTTCGACTGATCTATTTTTGTAAGCATTTTTTGCGGAAGAGATATATGATCACTAACATCGTGTATAATCTAGTAGGGAAAGTGACATATTATTCATACATACACATGTGTTTTAATTATCAAATTTTAATTATTATAATAAACAAACCTCGTCACTTGGCGGCCACATGACGCTATCCTCACTCAATTCCTTTTTTAAGTAATGTTTCCGCGGTACCTCTCTGCATCCCAATGGCGGACTCGAAATGCTACTTCTGGGTTTTGGATCTTTGTCTTCTCTTGCCAGCTGCATTTCTGCAATCTGTAAAAAATTCGTTTTACATATTTGGTTCTACATATCTAAAAGATTATTTATATCTTAATCACCATTTTCACATATTTTCGAAGATCATCCTTCGATTCATTTTTACTGGTTAATGGCAAATTTTCGACGGAATTCATTGTTGTCACGCTTTCGTTTTGATCTTCACGAGGTTGTGCATTGATCAAACTGTGTGCCTCTAACGGTTGAGTGACGTGTTTCATTAATTCCTGAGAAAGTTTAGTGTAACAATTTGGCATTGATTCAGACTTTTTAGGGCCTTTAGACTCAAAATATTTGTCTGCGTGAATTTTTTGAATCGGGGAAATATCCATGTTACTGCCTGTAATAACATTATTTCAAATTCATGTAAAATTTACTATAATCATAATTAACAAGTAACAGTATGTGAATTGGAAATCATTCTGGGACTAACCTGATATAATATGCAGAGCCTGTTGCCACTGTTTTTGCATAACGGAATGCAATTGTTCCGCAAGTTGAGATTTTGTTGCGCGCTGAGAATTCAAATGCGTTTCTAATATAGATGACCTCTGTAAAGCTTGAGCTAATTGCAGTTCGCACAATCGTTTTTCCTCTTTGTGTTTTTCCTCCAGCAAGTTTATTTCTAAACGGTATCTAAAAAAATAAATCCAATATATAACTTAGAAGATTAATTCGTATACATTTTATTGCACTGCTTTACAAAAATGTATATAGCGAACGAACTTATCGATAACATCCTTTATCTTCCTGGCAGCACACTCAGCTATAACTTGCTGCCTCGTTTTCAATTCCTCCAAAAATTCCGACTCGGCGTTATCAAGTTGCATTTGAAATTCTTGCAATTTTGCTTTTACCACTTCATCAACCTGTTTCTGATAAACCTCTTGTAATTCAGCTCTGATTTTTTCCTTTTGTTCTGCGATAGACTTAATTTCATCTTTAGCTAATTTCTGAAACAACAAACACACAAATATAAAATTAATAATTAATAAAAATGATGAAATTTGATAAATTTGTTAACTCTGTTAACAAATAATTCAACATATGTAATATATTACTTCCGCTTTCTTCGCGTCGTCAACATATACGAGCAACGATAAATTTTTCTGTTCCAAAATAGAATTCCTATTCATCTCCTCTTTAAGCTTAAGCTGCAAATTCTCTTTTTCTTGTCTCAGCACTGTCAACTCTGCTTCACAAGCATCTAGTGCTTTATGAATGACACCCATCTCACTTCGCACCTCACCTCCCCTCAAACGTTCTTTATTCAATTCCGATTGAACAGTTCTTAATGTCTCCTCAGTCTGTTGATTTTTCTGTAACAGCTTATTGAATTCTGTCTTCATTTGCTCGTATCTATTTTCTGCTTCTTGAACCAATGATTTGTAACTATCTAATTCATCTGCATGAGTTTTCAACAGATCAACCTTCTCTTTAATCATAATGTCACTCTTCTCCTTATATCCAGCTGCCAAGTCTAAAGCTTTCGATAACTCTCCTTCTAGCCGTTTCACTTGCGTTTGAAGTTCTAGAATCTCCGATTGATGCTTTTCTGTGATACTCTGCAAATTAGTCTGCGAATTTTTATGTTCAACTTCCAATATTACGACTTGTTGCTTTAATTTAGACCAAGATGTATGGAATTGCGATATCAAGACATTTTTTTCATTGTCAACTCTAACTGCTACTGCCACTTTTTCCTGTTGCTCCAGCAAACGTTTCTGAAGTTCTTGAATTAGATGCTCGCAATGCTAAAATAAAAAATCATTTTTATGCCATGTAACGAAATAATTTTTATTACATTATATTTTTATAACGTACCTCTCTACGAAATTTCTCCTCTTCTATCTTAATCCTAAGCGTTTCTTCGTGTGATCTAGTTGGATTAGAATCCCAGAAATCCGAAAGTGATAAAAGTCGTTGACATTTTCTGTAAATAAATTTGTGATAATTCATTAATAAAATGATACTGTGAATTTGCATTAAAATTCTTTTTACAATCGTAATATTATACTCTACATAGATAAAAAAAATTAATGAGCATTAAAAATTTTATAGAGTACCTTAAATGAAAATCCGTATTTGTTCCAATGTGCACGGTAGTTTTATTAAAATCAGATTTCTCTTTATCGTGTAAATTTTCACTGTGCTGTGATATTTTACAAAGATCTACAGGTTCTGTATTACTATATTGTACAATTTTCGATGGCATCATACCAGAAAGCTTAGCTGGCTCATTAATATGCGACATAGTATTTGCAATGGAAGATTTTGATTCAGTGTATATACTGCTTGTATTTGTTTCATCTGTCATTAGAACGTTCGATTCTGACATCGATTCTTTTGGTTTAGCATTGACAGTAGTAGCCGATACGTTAAACGGATGATCTATATTTTTTAAATTTTCTATTGTGTATCCATTTGGTTTTACAACAGGCTGCTGAACGTTTCGTTCCCACGTCTTAAAACCAGAAATCATTTTGTCAGTCTCATTTAAATGGAATGAATCATTGTACGGCAATGTGATATCTGGGAATGCATTGTTCGTTTTCTTTTGAGAAATGATCGACGAAGCGTCAGTGAGTTGAGTATCTTTATTCTCCCACGACTGAAAATCTAATTTACGATGCGCCTCCTTTTCTTGACTACTTGCATTACTAACAGTCTGTGTCGACAACGCTGGATGAAGCAGCTCACCGCGATATCCGCTAGTGTTATTTATTCTTTTAGACAATTCCAATTCGGTAGCTTCCATTTCTTGGAGCAGCTCGTCAACCTCTGACAGTTCCATCTCTTGCACTATTCTGGAACGGGTATGCAGGAGCTGACCTATCAATGCATTAGATGAACTTGACACAGGTATTGTTGAATGCGAGGAGTTGTGGGATTCATGCAAGTTACTCGTACAACGATCATTTGGACGAAGAGACAAGTGAGGGTCCTTCGTCGTGGACATAACAGTGGCATGCGAGAGCCCAGTACCACAGGAAGCAGGAGGCACCACGAAGGAGTCAGAGTACGAAGTTAGAGCGTCATGCTTGGCCCGTGTGAGAGTGTTAGTATTAGTCGTATTAGAGGTAGCAGCTGTCGTGAGATGGCACCCAGCCTTCGCGTCTCCCTTCAGGAAGAAGTTAGTACAGCTCTGCGACGAGTATCCATTGGGAGTGGAAGGAACGGACAGAGATTTGCGCGACTTGACGGGGGAGTTTTGCAGGCTGGCGCCTTGACTTACGGAGAACTTAGTTCTGGGTAGGGTCTGCCGTTGGCAAGGGTGGGACGCACCGCCGTACGCCGGCTGCGAGTCGTTAAGCAAAGCACTGTTGGACACGGAAATGTCCAGGCTACTGTCTCTGGACTCGATCGCCGTGATCCGGGACTCCAGCGATTGCATATGCCCGACCAGCTCCGAGATAACGCCGGTCCGCCCGCAATCCGTTCCGGCGCGATCGTTCGAGCAGGTGTCGGAATCGGAAGACGGCACGAGGAATATATCGGGCGGGATCAGGAGGAGAACATCCGTGTCATCGGACTCGCTCATTATCCATCTAAACAGTCGCCTGCCAGCGGTAGCGAATTATCGAGCGACCACCACAGGCCAATGCGATATTTGCGAAGCGCTCACAAAGCGCGTTCCGATGTCATTGATGTTTGTGTACAGCGGAGAAGCAGCCCGTGGACGCGTCGCCGCGTACCGGTTAGATTAGGTTTCCCCCCTCGCAACGTGTGTCCACACGTAAGGGTTACTGTACGAAGCGTATATTATGTGTCGAGTAGCTCATAAATGGCGATTAATCATTTCCAGTTCGCCGCCAACAAACTGCATCGCGAGGATACACACAGCACCGAAATTTTGTAAACAAACTTGAATGACACTCGCGCGCCACAAAAGACAACATAACCCCCTCAACGGTTCAATGAACTCGATATCAGCAGAGAGGATCCGAGAGAGGACATGGACGGTCTTTTGGCTCTAACACTAACGCCCTCTGAAGAAGTGGATCCAAATTACATAGCAAAATCTAGTTTTCTGCACAATTTATGGTGCGTGTCCGTACTAAATCCACTTTCCGAATCTGCTGGAGTTTTATTCTCGAAAAATTACGCATTAAAAAAAGAGAGAAAAGCTTGAGAATGGACGTGCCGTATTTTAGGTGGTCACGTCCACGCGCGCGTCTACATTATATATGCATATATATATATATATATACATATACAATGTATGTATATATTTATATGCATATATATATATACATAATACGTACACATTGAACTATGTAATCACGGATATTTACTACTGAACATCTATCTAACATTCTAACATATCTCTCATAACGCTGCAAATATTTCAAAGCATTTTTTGATTGATCAGTTCATAAAATTCTTTTTATTCTGATTAATCAATTAAACGCTTCGAAGCATTTGTAGCGTTATACGGCCGCGCAGCGCGCCGAGTGCCGACGTGACCACGTCGGAGTCTCACAAGCATAATGCTTTGCAATGCGTAGCATTTCGCTTATATACCCATCTCGGTAGCCAGCGTACATCCAATCAGAGCGCTTGGTGCGGGCACGGCACCGCAGCTTGGTTCTCACTGCAGATATAATTTTATTGAGTATAATTTCCGACGCTGCGAAGCAGGCGAGAAAGGATCAAATATCATTTTCATTTATTTATGTTATAATTAGACATTGTGCGTATGTTGATAAAAAGAGGCAAGTGCCATTACTGCCATTATCCGTCAGTCTGTTTCTGTAAAATGCGGCCGCGCAGCGCGCCGAGTGCCGACGCAACCACGTCGGAGTCTGATAAGTAAAGAGCATTCAGTCACGTAGCGTTCCGCTTATATACTCGACTCGAGTAGTTAGCGCGCTCCAATCAGAGCGCTTGGCTGGAGCGCGAGGCAGGGTACTATATAAACGGCGCGTACGCGCCGCGCGCATAATAGTCCGACGGCCGCCGAGTCCACAGCAAGTTCGGAGGAGTATTGCGTCGCATCGCGTCACGTAGGGACGATCCGACAACCTATGCGCTGTAAAAAATTGATGTACATGAATGTATTGAGGAGGAAATTCATATGCGGGTACATGTGATTTATAAAAAATTAATTTTGTTTTTGCTATCTTTTCATATGTTTCATCATAAATGCTTTATCTTGTTTTATTTTAATGCTCCCGAGCATTAAAATAAATTATCTCAAAATATATATTAATTAATCTTAAGCATATTGAAAAAATTTACTCCCGAGACAACATTTGTCTTATTTTATTTGAAGATTAAAGATTAAAAATTGATCCGAAATCATTAGATTACAATTAATTCGCTCGCACGATCGGCCACAACTGTGAGCCGCGTCGAGCGTCGGCGCGTCGCTTGTTTCGCGTATAAAGCTGGCCGCGTGCGGGACAAATTGCTCCGCTTCACTACCTTAATTACGCATTTATCCATACGTATGGCGTACGTTAACATACAGCGTACATATGGATAAACGCATAATTATGATAATGAAGCGGCGTAATTCGTCCTTGCGTGGCGTCAGCTTATGTGAAACAAGCGTCGCGGCGCGGGCGACCCGTCGGCGGCGATATACGTCTTGATTTTCGGCCGAACGAGTATTGCGATTACGCATCCGATCAAATCAGCTAGAGTTCGAATGTCGAATCTATATTACGCGTTAATTAGATGCAAGATTGATCGGATGCGTATTTCGTAATACTCGTTCGATCGAAAATCGAAATATGTAGCGTTGGCGTCGCCGCGCGCCGCTGTTGCACCGACGCCGCCGCAGCGCGTACGGTGGCGCTAATTGCGCTATTGGCGTGCGGCGATGCAGACGCTAAGTTGATCGCGGGATAGAGGAATCCGCATTCAATATTTCAGTAGTGTTTCTTTTATAATTTTAGAACTCGAATCGAGATAAATTGCATATTTGGAACGAGAGGCATCGCGGCTAATATAACTGGTAAGTGGGACTTTGCATTTTTTTACATGTAGCATCGCCGCACTATCGCCGTTGCCACCGCCGCCGACCCGCGTCGCCACGACGCTTGTTTCGCGTAAGATGACCGCGTGCGGGCCAAATTGCTCCGCTTCACTATCTTAATTACGCATTTATCCATACGTATGGCGTACGTTAACATACAGCGTACATATGGATAAATGCATAACTATGATAGTGAAGCCGCGTAATTCGTCCCGCGTGGCGTCAGTTTATGCGAAACAAGTGTCGCGGCGCGGGCGACGCTTCGGCGGTGTACACGTTTTGATTTTCGGCTGAACGAATGTTGCGATTAGTGATTATGCATCCGACTGAATCAAAGTTTGAATCTATAATACGCGTTAATTAGATGCAAGATTGATCGGATGCGTATTTCGCAATACTCGTTCGATCGAAAATCGAAATATGTAGCGTCGCCGCGCGCCACTGTTGCCGCCGCTCTCGCCGCGCGTCGCCGCGCACCCCTGTTACCTCCGCTCTCGCCGACGCGTCGCCGCGCGCCGCGCGCCACTGTTGCACCGACGCCGCCGCAGCGCGTACGGTGGCGCTATTGACACACGAGTCGCGAAGTCGATCGCGCGGATAGACGAAACCGCTTCACTATTTTAGTAGCGTTTCTTTTATCATTTTAGAGAATTCGATACGAGAACGAGATAGATCATCTTCGGAACAAGAGGCGTCGCGGCTAATATAAAGGTAAAGTGGACTTTGCATTTAATTGTCTATAACATATAGCATCACCGTTCTATCGCCGTCGCCACCGCTGCCGACCCGCGTCGCCGCTACGCTTGTTTCGCGTAAGCTGACCGCGTGCGGGACAAAGTGCTCTGCTTCATTATCTTAATTACGCATTTATCCATAAGTATGCGGCGTACGT